TTCACTAAGATTATGATTGAAAATGGAATGGTATTAAAATCAGATGCTTGATAATATTTTGGCTATAATGAGTGGCTAGACACTGAATTATCAAGAGTTGATATTCATGAACATTTACAGAAGTAATACAACAGAAGTTTGGTATGCAATATGCAATTGCAAACTTACACATTAGCAAAAAACAAGAGTAAATAAAATACCTCTGGTAGAGTAGCAATTTCTGCCATTCACAAGTAGCAGCTTTATCAAGTATATGAAATTAACCATCAGTTTTTGGTCCTAATGTTAACTTATAACATGTGTTTACTTGGTCCAGGATATTGTAGAACAGACCTTATTGAGATGGCTGAAATTAGGCTAAACCAAAGTATAATGTGGTTTGTAACCTGCCTAGAGATAAAAAGATAAATCATGATGTTTACAACCCAGCCCATATATGAGTCTATGATTCATAAATTATTATCTAAAATGTAATTCAGATAACAAATGTTTCTTTACAGCATACATTTGTCAGTAGTGGTCAAGACAATGGCATATATCCAAGCTAAATTATTCTCCAAAAACAGAAGATGGATCTGAAAACATCAGCTTTTCTCTGTCACTAGCAAATAAAATAGCAAGCCAGATAAATTTCCAATTCAAAAGTTCTTTTTATGGCATGTTTACATGAGTAAAGAAGCATCTTAAACACTGCTTGCACTTAATTATTAGCTTTAAACCCTGAATTGCATAATACTATATTATAAAATGACATGTTTAAGCATATTGGTTGTTTGATTTAAGATGCATGATAATCGATTCTTGATTTTTATTAAATGTTTTTAAGTTATTAATTGCATTGAAATAAATAATATCGACTAAGGAAAAACTGAAATACACCTGAACAGAGTACAAATTCTTAAATAAGCATGATGAGGTAGATTTTGTGTCCACAGACTATGTTTATAATATCATTATTTGATTTGTAAAGATTAATCTGAAAAATGTTTTTATCCATTTTAAATTAATCTTAGTATTTCTTAAGGAAATCAAGCAAATTTCAAGTAAATTGTGATTACATTTTACCTTGCTGTTTTCTGTTTATTTTTGGTATGTTAGTCAAAGTCTGAACTATTCATGGTAGATGTCATAGACATCCCACTTCCACCTTCCAAAGGTATTTAAAGGATTATATGGAAATCATCCCATTTCTTAGCGATATGCTTGAGCCTACCCAAACAGTAACTATTTCTTGATTTTTCTTTGCATACCCAGCACCTTGGACAGTGCCGAGCATAAAACAGGCATTGATCTATTTAGGAGCAGATGAACACATGAATAATTTTGTCCTGATGCTATGTTTGTCTTATATATTGCTGGAGATACTAATCACCAGGGCCTGAGCATCTTTATGCTTCGCTATAATGATACTGTGTGTATGCAAACCACTCCTTAAATGTGTTATTTCATTTTTAATGCAAGGTGTTACACTTGGAAAATAAAATCTGTTACACTAAAATTCATGTCAACATAAAAATTATTATTTCCAGATATTGACCCTCTTTTACATGCAAAACCAGAATATTAATGTTAGAGAAATTTAAAACAAAAATACTGTTTGTAAAGCAACGCTTATTTTCATTCTCATCTTCAAGTTCACCAAGGAATTCGTAAAGGTAAGAAGGAGAATTTCCTACTTCCCTCCACCCACTTCACCCCACCAAAACAAACAAGCAAAACAAAAACAAGAAACAAAAAACAAAAAACTGGAAGGAAAAAGAGAATTTTCCAGTCTTATTTTTAAATACTGTTACTGTGGAGCAGTATGGATTATTGTGCATCGTCAAGGCATATATTCAGAAGTCCCTCCCCCCCGCCCTTTAAACGCGTATCTTATAGTAAATATACTCTTGATGATTCTTGTTACCCACACGCACTACTAGGAAGATTATGGACCACGGTAATTGCTCCTTGTGTTCACAGTGGACACGAACTTAACAAAGGAGAGAAGAAAATGGAGCGAAGGCAAACCCGTCTGTAAGGGATCGCTGCAAACCGGTTTTTATTCGGTTTGTGCTAAATGAGTCGAGGCGTGACAAGAACCCTTTGTCTGCGGGACGACGGATCTGGCGACCATTATCCCCTCGCGGAGACGACGTCTGAAGACTCCGCCCGGGCTGGGGGTGGGGAGGGTGCGCCGCGTGGAGAGCTCAACCGAGAATTAAAGTGAGCGAACAAAGAGACTCCCAGCTTGCCGCCCGCCAGCGCCTCGCAGCTGCATCGAGAGACGCAGATCCCACCCGGAAGGCTCTTTGAATCCGCCTCCCCGAGACCCAGAGCTCAAGTAAAAAATTGATGGCGATTGATCCGGCCCAGAACAAAGCTCTGCGGAAAACCAGCGCATCCGATTCCGAGCGGCTTTGGAAGCTTCCGCCAAGGAAGGGATATGTGAGTGCAGCCGGGACGGTGAGCGCCGCTCCGGGTCTTCCATCTCGGGCGTGGCTCCGGCCCTTTTTTGTCTGCTTGCCACCCGCCCCTCTGCGTCCGCCCCCGCCTTCTTCTCTTCCCTTTTGAAAGTAGCCTCTCTTTGGTTACTTCTGCTCTGTCTCCCTTGCAATCCCGCCCCCTCCCCTGCCCAGGCCGGTGAGGTCAGCTCATGAATATCCGTGCACTTCCCGGGGAGCGTCTGGCACGGCGTGGTACCTCGCGGGTTCGCCGGCTCCGAGCCGCAGCTCCATCCAGCCCAGCCGCGGACGCCGAAGAAGTCATTCGCTCTCCCGGCCGCTGAGTCTCCGAGTTCACGCCATTGTTTGGAGAAAGCGAGTGGGTGTGGAACTGGTGCGAACCGGCCCAGAGTGAAAGTGCTCAGCCAGAAGGTCGCATACACAATACTGCGAAGTGCAACTTTCCTCGTCTCCTGAAGACACAATAATAAATCCTGAAGTCCCCCGAAGATAGAAGCAAAGAGCTGTCGATTGACTTCTAAAAGCATCGCCTCTGCTAAGAAGTGAGCAGTTCTGGATTTTCTAAAGGGATGGGGATGAGATCCGGGGTGGGTGGGTCAGTGGGCAGATAAAGCTTGAGATAAGAAGTGTTGGTCTAGGCCATTGCTGGGGTGCTTGCTTGGCGATTTTCCTAAGGGAAGCCTCCAAGAGAGACAGCATCTTGTCACTTTGTGAGAACCACGTGACAGTAGCCAGGTACTCGAGCTTCCTAACCTGGGTTAGAACTATATGGGGGTGAATGAAGCGTTCTCTGGTGGTTTTCAGCTTCAGAGTGGCTATACCTAATTCAAAATAAAAATAAGGTTGCGTTGGCAGTATAACTTGTCTGGGTGATCCACCTTCAGTGTGACCTGCCAAATAGCTAGACCAGGTATTCAGATATTCTGGGAGCACGTTGCTCTGGGAGGAGATGTAGAAAATAAGTTGATGGACGACTCTTCCTTCACCCTCCTACCGTCTCTTCTTTGTTCACTATTATTTTCCAAACCGAGTTGGAAGGAGATTCCTGAAAGAGAATGGGAGATGGAGGAGCCTTCCCAGTAATATTTCTTTATAAATTGAGGTATTACTACACATTGACTAAGTTACGGTACTTAGACAATATCAAGAATAATGCTAGTACAATAACTAGCAAATATCTTCTCTCATAATAGGAGCTTGTTTTTTTTTTTTTTAAAGCAGAACTTTCTGCCTAGTCATGCCCTTTTCAGTGCTTTAGAGAGAAATTATATTTCTAAGGAAATATAAAGGCACCTAATTGAATAGTTGAGTAAGCTGAATCAGTAGGGGAGAAGAACCCAGGAGGCAATGGGTTTTGAGTTGCAGTTTTCCAGATTTTAAAAGCCAGTAATGGATTTATATTGGGGGGAAAAAAAACCAACAGAGTAGGAGTTAATCATACCACAGTGAAGATGCACCAGGCTTCTTGGGTGTAGGGTCATTCTGTCTTAATTTGATTTCATGGAAAGGACTGGGCACTTTAAAAGTATAACTTTGCCTGTTAGGTGGGAAGAAGCTTAATAGTGAAAATGCTTTCTGTCTAGTAATTTACCCTAAAAACTAAAACAATTGACAAAAACAATTAAATTTGGATAGGTGTAGAAAAGTTACCACTTGTAATTTAAGAAATTTTGCACATTCACAATAAATTATCCCCAAAGTATTTTTATTTCTCAAAGCTAAGAAATAAAAGAAAAAAATCCTTTTAGGGTTGCTAATGATGAAAGCATATAGATGATTTTAATGCCATATCTTCTTGAAACTGAATTTGATTTGAAGCCATTCATTATTTCTATTTTCTTTCAGTTCTAGTCTAAAGGAAGGGAAATGGGTGCATTTCTCTAGTTAAAAGCAACAATAAGAGTTAGATCAGTTTGAGAAGAGTATCATTTATCCATAACAAATTTCCTCTGGGAAAAACCCTTTTCATCTAATTGACATTTGAGAATATTAATTAAAACTTTCTCCACAAAACTAGGATTTGAAATGCAGATATGGTAGTGAAGAAAACAAAGTTGAAAAATCAGGGTATTGACAATTCTAGCATATGGACATCTTTTCCTTCTGAACCTTCTTCTTGACCTTATCTTCTTAAAAAAGAAGAAGAAGAAGAAGAAGAAACAAAAAAACTTCCTTCCTATCAATTCCTTTCGACTCCATGCTTGCCATAACCTGCTACCATGAGAATGTTAGGTTCAGCAGCTTTCAGATCTTCCTTTTACAGCGGTAGAGTGGGGTGGTGATAGCGCCTCCCCGGACGAAATGAGAATTGACAGTTCTGCATCCTATTTCTAAAGTCAAGGCTTCATATAGCGCCTTCCAAATCTCATTTTCTAGGGCTTCTCCTGTTGAGGGGAATCAGCCTTTGCTCTGTAACAACGCAGACGTGCTGTATGCTTTCCTTCTTTTGTTTCCGTCTCAGATTAGAAAGGAAGGTTGGTGGCAGTGAAGAGGGAAGCGAATGATCTGGTGATGGACTATTGTATATCACGTCCCTTAGATTCTTCCTAGACCGCCATGAGTCAGCCACCGACGGGGGGCGCTGCCCCTGTCACAGCAGTGCCTCCTGCCGCCACCGGTGCCACTGAGGCTCGCTCGCACCCGGAGGGCAGCAGCAGAAAGCAGCAGCGTGCTCAGTCACCCGCTAGACTGAGGGACAATTCGGTCCGACAGGCAACCGCGACCACCCGGGCCCCAGTAGGGGCTGGCACTAAACTCAATTCTAGTCGACAGCAGCAGCTGCAGCAGCAGCAGCAGCAGGGCAACAAGATCGGGAGCCGTGCAGCGCCTCTGGCCAGCGCCCGGGGAAGCGGAGGCGGGGCGGAGAAGGCCGCGCCCCCGGCGCCCAAGGGGACGGTCTCGGGAGCTGTCCAGCCTGTGGCTGGTGCTGAAGCAGCCCTAGTGGCGACCGTGGCCCCTGTGGGTGTCAGGAGGCCTGGCCTGTCGGAGGAGCCGCCCCGGGAGCTAGAGCCCGCGTCCTCTAAACTCGGGGAACCCCCTCCGCTAGGAGAAGGAGGAGGAGGGGGTGGGGAAGGAGGAGGAGCCGGCAGTGGCTCCGGGGAAAGGGAGGGGGGCGCTCCGCTGCCACCGCCGCCGCCCAGGGGCTGGCGAGGGAAAAGCGTCCGCGCTCAGCAGAGGGGCGGCAGCGGCGGGGAGGGGGCCTCCCCTTCGCCATCCTCCTCCTCCTCTGCGGGCAAAAGCCCAGGCTCCGGCAGCAGAAATTCCGGGCTTGGCGTGGTGGCGGGTGGCGGCGGTGCTGGAGGGAGCTACTGGAAGGAAGGATGTCTGCAGTCTGAGCTCATCCAGTTCCATCTGAAGAAAGAGCGGGCAGCGGCGGCGGCCGCGGCTCAGATGCACGCTAAGAACGGCGGCGGCGGCAGCAGCAGCCACCGCAGCTCTTCGGTCACCGGCGCCCCTGCCGTTTGTGAGCCCCTGGCGGTTCCTCCCGCCTCCCCAATGGCGGCGGCGGCAGAGGGCCCCCAACAGAGCGCAGAGGGCAGCGCGAGCGGCGGGGGCATGCAGGCTGCGGCGCCCCCTTCGTCGCAGCCGCACCCGCAGCAGCTCCAGGAGCAGGAAGAAATGCAGGAGGAGATGGAGAAGCTGAGGGAGGAGAACGAGACTCTGAAGGTGAGGAGAGGGCCGGGGAGGAGGGGGGTACCGGTTGGGGGAGGGGAGGCGTGGGCCTCGGAGGATTAGGGCGTGTCCTGGCGAAGTGAGAGGCGGCTAACCCTCTCTCACTTAAAGAAGGGGGGAAGGGGGACAGGAAATGAGAGGAGGGGGTTCCTAGGCCCCTTCCGGATGTCAGAGGGCTCGAGATCAGTAGCGTCAGGTTTTTATTTGGCTCCAAACCCGGGCCTTCGTTTCTCTGGTTATTAATGGTTTGTCGCACTTTTTCATGGAGAGCGCTCGAGTTAGGAGAGCGAGGGAAGGCCAAGGGCCCGTTTCCTTAGTTTCTCGTCGTTCGTTCAGCTCCGTGTCATTCCTGTCCCATGGAGAGGGGCCGCTAAAGCTGAGGATTTGGAGTTGGAATAGGGTGTACGTGCTGTGTGTCCGAGGGGCAGGGTGGGGTGGTGGGGCGAGGCCAGTTTTGACCCGCGGCCTGTCCCCGCCTCAGAACGAAATCGATGAGCTGAGGACCGAGATGGACGAAATGAGGGACACTTTCTTCGAGGAGGACGCCTGTCAACTGCAGGAAATGCGCCACGAGTTGGAGAGAGCCAACAAAAACTGCCGGATCCTGCAGTACCGCCTCCGCAAAGCCGAGCGCAAGCGGCTCCGCTACGCGCAGACCGGCGAGATCGACGGGGAGCTGCTGCGCAGCCTGGAGCAAGACCTCAAGGTCTGCGGCGGGCGCGGGGGACGGGGCGGGCGCGGGGACGCGGACCCAGGGCTCTTCGCTTCGAAAGGCCTTCAGTGGGGAGAGGCCGAGAGCTTTAGGGACGCGGGAGTTTTCGCAGCACCAGTGGCAGCAATCCAAGGTCCCAGAAGGGGAGGAGGAGGAACAGACAGGTGGGTCTGAGAGTCCTGTGTGTACGGAAGGTCTTCCGGAGGGCGAGCTCGGGGAATCTCCTGGGAAGGAACGGTGACCCTTACCGAGGTGGGAGGAGGGCGCCTCCCTCCCCAGCGGAACATGGGTGTGGCAGAGCACCGGCTCCGGCCCTGATCTGGCTTCCAGAGAGCCGCCTCCGAGTGCAGGCCGAGTGGATGGATTGAGGCACTGAGGAGCAGCGCGGTGAAGACTCCTCCGGGGAAGTTGAAACCCAGAATAGGAACAGCTCTCGGGAAGATACTAGAGTTGAGGTTTCTCTCTGAAAGCCGTCCTCCGCCCCTCCCGCCCCCCTCCTCCCGCCTTCTTCCAGAAATCCTTTTTCTGTACTTAACCACTTCAGCCACTCCCGGAGAGAAACACCGTCTCGTGTTTGGCTCCTTTAGGAAAGGTAATGGTAGAGTGAGCTAAATGAAAGAACCTTGTTCTTAGTGAAGTAGCTCCTTCAGAATCCTCCGCCAGTGGAGAAATTTCAACTTGGAAACGCCAGTTTGGGGCAGGTGCGGTCTGTTTATTTGGGTTTAACTGTAGGCAGATTCACGGACAATGCAAATCAGATGTTATCTTGACTGTCTTGGACAACAAATGAAATGCAATATCAGTTGTATTAATTTCATCAAGATAGCAAAACTGAGTGTAATTATCTTTTTTTTCTTAAAGCTATGGGAAAACATTTTATGCAAGTTGTATCATTTCTTTTTCCTTTTTCTGACATTTGTGGAATGCCCGTCATGCACCAGGCACTGTGGCAAACCTTGTTACCTATATTATTTAACTTAATTCTCAAGGGAAAAAAAACCAAACAAACTGTAAGGTAGAGATTATTAATAGCATCGTTTCACAGGTGACAAGATGACCCTTTTACAGAAGTTAAGCACCCAGTCCCTAGCCCTGGAACTTGGCTAGTAAGTGGTCAGCCTGGCTCCCTACCTAGTCCAGATTCACTGTCTGTCTCCTAAGCCACTGAACCAAACTACTTCACTTTTGTTCCAAACCCTAAAATTTCTGAGGTAATCTTAAAACAGGAGGCAAAAATGCTCACACTAATTTTTTTAGCTTAATCTCAAAGATTAAAATGTTTCATAAAACTAAGCACCTAGAATGATAGGGTCAAAATTCAAGACCCAGACTCTACTTGGGAAAATTTTATTTTCAGGTGATTTAAAATAAGTGATAATGGGGGCATCCAGAATTAGAAGAGATTTGTGAAATTTCTCTACACATGATAAAACACGATTGAACATTTATAACCATGATATCTTGTAGACGTTAAGGGAACAGAGTGTAGAACCAGACTACCTGGCTGCTTGTTAGTTCTGTCACCTTGAGCATATTACTTTACCTTGATGAGCCTCAGTTTTCCTCATCTATAAAATAGGAATAATACTCAAGCCTATTTTGTGGGATTGTGGTGGTGGTTAAATGGTTTATATGTGTGAATGGCTTATATGTAAAGCATCTGGAAGGATGCCTGGCATATGATAGAGACTATATACATATTGGCTCTAATACTTTTAATATAACTAGCCAATTTATTGTATTGTCTTTAATTATATTTTACTGGTAAAAACACTTTAATTTAGGTTGCAAAGGATGTATCTGTGAGACTTCACCATGAATTGGAAAATGTGGAAGAAAAGCGAACAACAACGGAAGATGAAAATGAGAAACTGAGGCAACAGCTTATAGAAGTTGAGATAGCAAAGCAAGCATTACAGAATGAACTGGAAAAAATGAAGGAGGTTAGTAATTGATCATCTCATGGCATGTTGTGTATATTTAGCTCTTCATAGAGAGTGCCAAAGACCAATATGACTGTTAAAGTAATTCCATTTTTATGATTGTAGGACAGTTTGTTGTTCTCTCACCCAATATAGTAACAGATACAAGCTTTCATACTAATAAATAAGTAGCCAAGAAATAATTCTGATCTCTGCCCAGCTTTTGACTTGACATAGATGAACTGTGACTGATGCTTTGTGTGTGTCATCTAAATGGATGTTAGTGGAATAAATTAACACAGCTATGCCAAACACAAAGGGTATCACAAGTATGAAGGATTAAGCCTTCAGTTAGTTGAGGGGAAGTGCTAATCCTGTGAGATTTCTACAGAGTTCATAGAACCATAGACTTTTAGGATGAAAAAGACCATCAAGGCCATTCAATCTGATCTCACTGTTGCTTGACTCCTCCTTAATACATAACCCCCAAATAGTCTAATGCTTAGAGGATCACTAGCACCTAGTCCTTAAGTTCTTCTCTGGTGGTTTAGGTGCTAAGTCATGTCCGACTCTTGCAACCCCATGGACTGTAGCCTGCTAGGCAACTCTGTCCAAGGGTTTCTCCAGGCAGGAATACTGGAGTGGCTTGCCATTTCATAATTTTATCACAGCATAACTCTGTTTAAGATTTTCTTTCGGGTTGAAATTTATTTACTAGTAAGTTTAATACATTCATCTTAGTCCTGCTCGTTCAAGTAGGAGAGTCAGAGTTCTCTTCCACATTCGCTACTAGAAGATTCCTAGCAAGTTTCCCCTGAATCTTCTCAAAGAACAAAATCAGTAATAAAAAAATAACTAGAGAGTAAAAGAAACAGAAAAGATGTATCAAGAAATAATTAGCTTTGTGATAAGTAACAATTTGAAATAAAATAGTATTTTTCCTTGAAAACTGCCTGAAAATGTATGGTGCAACTTGTGAAAAGCATTGTTGAAAATTAGCAAATTCACATGTGGTTCTCTGAACATGTAAATGAAAATCCTGATCTTTTCATAGACTAATTGAGATATTGCACTTGCCATTGCTTCGCTTATCTCGAAGTGGTATAAAAATGTAACTACACCCAGGTAAGTGCGTTATTCGCTCGGTTGTGTCTGGCTCTTTGCGACCCCGTGGACTGTGGCCCGTCGGGCTCCTCTGTCTGTGGAATTCTCTGGGTGGAAATGCTAAAGTGGGTGGTCATTCCCTTCTCCAGGCGATCTTCCTGACTGAGGGATCGAACCTGGGTCTCCCTCATTGCAGGCAGATTCTTAACCATCTGGGCCACCAGGGAAAGCCCCGAGGGACCCAGAGTGAAGGAAAAACTGATATTCTTTTAACAAATGTACAGCTCATTCCCTAGATGTTTACAGTGAAATTCCTTTGGAATGTACATGGTGTGTAGTATCTTCCCAATAAAACTTCTCATTCAGCTTTTACTAGGATTTCTTTTAGAAACAGAGGATGGATGGCAAAGATTAAATAACATAGAACCTCCTTTCCAAATAAAATCAAGACTTTAAGAAAAGCCCGAGTCTGTTTCGGGATTAAAACCCTTTAATTTTTCCTGCTCTGATATCATTCAAAGTGAGTTTTATTGGTGAGTGAATAGCAACCATTTTCCACACAGATCTCCAACTCCAAATCTATTTAGCAGTGACCTCAACTTGACTCCAGATTTAACTGTACATGTCTAACCGCAAGGGCAGCTACTCCAGCAAAACCCAGGTTGTCCTTATTTTGCTTTCTAAAGTATTGTGTGTATTGTAAATGGTTCATGATGATGGTGATTATTATATTAATAAAGCTATTGCTCCCTGGGGGAAGTAAATGTAACTACAACATAACAATGAAAATATCAGTAGTCAAGAATATGTGGCAGGAATTTGTAGAAAACTGTTTCGGTGGGATAAACTATTTTATGGTCAAAGTTTCTATTTATTTTACATTATCAGGTAAACACTTTTAACATGACAAATTAGAGCAAAATCATTGTACTGATACGTGATTTTTAGCTAATACCTGAGGGTGGCTGTGTGCTACAGTAGAGAAACTGGGAGCCACAGGGCTGTCTTCACCAATAACTAATGGGGTGACTTAAAAGCTCTCCAACTTCTACTTGCCTCAGTGTATTCAGTTGTAAAATGTTACTTTCAGTGATTTCAGTGACTAGGCAGCTATCATGCCTTTTACTGTGATATCCAGGGCATTGCCATTTAAGACTTCTTTTCTGAATTTGAGAGAGCAAATATTAATATAGGTATAAAGATGTTTCTTCGATAATAATATACAGTTGAAGTTTGTGAAAAATGGAAAGTTTTATTTCCAGAAAAATGGAAAGTTTGATTTCCTTTTTTAATTAAGGAAGTAGCTGGGGCTGTCATAACAGAATACTACAGAGTGGCTTAAATATAGACATTTATTTTCTAAATAAATAGGTCCAAAAATTAAGGTGTTGGCAGGGCTGGTTTCTTCTGAGGGCTGTGAAGGAAGGATCTATTCCAGGCCTCTCTCCTTGGCTCATAAATTGAATCTTCATGTAGACTTGGCATTTACTTTGTGTGTGATCAAATTTCCCCTTCTTATAAGACACTGGTCAAAATAGATTAGGATCCACTGCAATGACTTTATTGAGGCTTGATTGTCTCAGTAAAGACCCTCTCCAAATAAGGTCACATTCTGAGATACTTGCTTGCGGTAGGATTTCAACATGTAAATTGGGGCAAGGGGTACAATCCAGCCCGTAAGAGTAGCTGTTAAATATCTTCTTGCTGCTGCTGCTGCTGCTAAGTCGCTTCAGTCGTGTCCGACTCTGTGCGACCCCATAGATGGCAGCCCACCAGGCTCCCCCGTCCCTGGGATTCTCCAGGCAAGAACACTGGAGCGGGTTGCCATTTCCTTCTCCAATGGATGAAAGTGAAAAGTGAACGTGAAGTCACTCAGTCATGTCCGACTCTTAGCGACCCCACGGACTGCAGCCCACCAGGCTCCTCCGTCCATGGGATTTTTCAGCCAAGAGTACTGGAGTGGGGTGCCATCACCTTCTCCGAAATATTTTCTTAGGGACAAGCAAAAAGAAAGCTCGTTGTCACATACATTAGGCTCTATTCCTTATTCTGACCTCACTTGCATCCTTCCATTTTCCTTGTCTAGGCAATTAAAAATATCCAAGTCAAAACAAACTTCACTAATTACAAGGGATGAGAAAGAAATGCCTTGTGATTTGGTATTAAATGAATGTTTTTCAAGTGAATATCTGAAAAGTTGGGTTTAAGAATGGCATAAGAGCTTTCTGATTTTCATCCTGTGTCTGGGAAAGGGGAATATTCCTGTAAACTGACTGGCCATTAGCCAGAGAGATGGGACCTCTCCTGTCTTAAAAATCAAAATAATCCTACTGCCTCCCCACCAAAAAAAAAAGATGACAGAAACCTGGGGATATCCTCATTGTAAAAATACATTTAATTGATTCTGTTTCCCATACTTTTTTCTTATAACCATTTCCTTCTTCAGGGCTCTAACTCTGAGTTGGGAAAATACTCTTGCTGCATTAGGCAGTGTGGGTCTATGTTCATGCCAAAAAGGAAATTCTCATGCACCTGGGAGGAATAAAAGCCAAACCCAACCTGGGTTGGATCCCTAGGTTGGGAAGATCCCCTGGAGAAGAGAATGGCAACCCACACCAGTATTCTTGCCTGGAGAATCCCATGGACAGAGGAGCCTGGAGGGCTACAGTCCATGAATGAGGTCGCAAAAAGTTAGGCACAACCTAGCAAGTAACACTTTCACTTTCATCAGGACATCAGCTTTTAAAGTAACCTTTTAGTTTTAAAATGGGCTTTAAAATAGCATTCAGTTTGGGAATTTGAGTGGTGGTAGGGAAAAGAAATGGAAATATAGAGGAAGGGAGAGAAAGCAGAAAAATATCTGAAGGATTCTAAATATTGTTCTAAAGAGAAAATGAAAAATATTCTGGCAGGAAAATTTTCTAGTCATATGAAGGTCAGTTGAGGTTGACCTTTATAGTGTTCAAAAGTATCAAAAATAGAAAAAGTAGTTTTAAAATATGTTTAGAAATCAGAAATGTTTCATTAAAATAAGATTTTTGTAATGGTGATTTTGTTAGCTTCTAAAAAGATAAATATAAAAACTGAGGTGCAATCTTAACTGGCTTACTTTGTGTGGTAGAGGTCATGAGCTTGGAGCTGACTTGTCCCCCATCTGATTGCAACAACTTCAGTTAATTATCTGCTTTTTTGGGTGTAAAACAGAAACATTTTTCAAGTCCTTAGTGAGTGTTAATCACACAATTGTTATCCCTTTGTGGTGTCCTACCAGTGGAGTAAATAGAACCAGGCCAAGCTCTCCATTATGAAGAAAATGTACTAGTTATGGAGTAAAATCACAAAATGTCAAACAGAATATACTAGAGAGAAAGCAGTCTTCCAACTCACAGAGTCTGGTTTCTTGTATGGAGTCATATAGATGTTGAACAGCACAGCTGGGATCAATAGGCCATCTGCCAGAGTTTGGAAACCATTTACTGAGAGTTTAACTGGCTTCGAGGGTGTTGACCAGTTCCTCTCGGGGTTGGTGGCTATATAAGGTCCCATGCACCTGCTCACATCCATCTGCTTATCTTCTCCCCCTGAGAACACAGAGTAGGCGCCAGGGGTTAAGAAGAGCTGAGTAGAGGCAGGATGGAGGTAATTAGCTGATTCTACTGTTACTCGTTGCCTGTATTAAAACAGCTGATGTTCTGCCAACTGCAAACAAGAGGGACCTCTCAGGATGCTGGCTTGAAGTCCTAATTGCATTCTCATCGCAACTATAAAACATTGATAGCAACTGGCAATATGCTTTCTTGCAGCAGAAAAATGCCTTTACCTTTATGTAACTTAGTAAAAATGCTTTTCTGTCTTTCAGCATCACAATCAGTGAGATAAGAGGTTTTTGTAAAAGTTATTTTATGGAACCGACAATC